TTAATGGTTTAATGCAGGATTTCTTAAGTTTTGTGATTGTTTCACGATCTTTACTGCTTGAAGTTTAAGACAATACTGATAGTTTAAGCACTACTAATCGGCCTCATCAACTAAGTTACTCAAAACAATGAATTTCAAAATTTTTAACCATTACAAAATAATATTTTATGGACTCAGGGGCGTAGCTAGGGGGGGTCCATAGGGGGCTCGCCCCCCCCCCCCCTACGAAAATCTGATAATTGTTTTATTAAGTATTTATAGAGAAGAACCAGTTAATGTAGAGGAAGTGATGAAAGAAATGTCAAAATCAGCACGAAAATTTAAATTTAATGTATGAATAATGAATTAAATATTTAAACTTATGAAGAATGAATATAGATTTAAGGATACAAAATAACGGTTTTTTAATTTTCGAAAATGGGCCCCCCTTAAAAATTTTCTGGCTACACCCCTGTATGGACTAATGTAAATCGACAGTTTTGAGCTGTTTCGTAACTTTATTGTAATTCTGTTCTGTAAAAGATAATCAACATTAAAAGAAATTGGTTACATTTCTGTCGAAAAAATCAAAATTGATGATAAATGTGTTTAAAAATGATTAATTAATAATTTAAGTTGCACAATAGCTAGAGTGTGTGCACCTTGCCTCTTTCTCCGAGCAATTTCCTTCGACAATTTTTATTTCCATTCGAATATTCGTTCCAACTCCCTTTATTTCCCATTTGTTCTGTTCCTATCTCTGTCTGACTTGCTATACAAAAACACACAAACACATTTCTCTCTCAGCAATGCATGCAATAAGGCATTTGGCGCAGGTTATAAAAATGCAGTAAAAACACATTATTAACAACCGTATTAAAAAATAATATTTGTTGTGTGTTGAGAAAGTTGAAAGACGATAAATGCTTACAGTAGTTATGAGGTAATTAAAGAAGAATTAAATGTTTTTATTTATTTTAACATGATGCTTATTACCGAAAAATAATCTGTCTTATGGGAATTAATCCTTGAAAATTTAATTTAAAACACTTCTCATTAAATGAACAATTTTTTTGCGAGCTGCAAATTTTATGCAATTATTTTTTGTCTTTACTTTTATATCCACAATTTTTATATGTATGTATCAAATTAATTTTAGTATTTGTTGAACATAAATTCAGTACTTTGTCATGATCATATCTGAATGAGCAGCAATGCGAAGTTCAGAATACATTATGCGAACTTTTTTATTTATTAAGGAATAATAGATTTTAAGATTATTGAATAATTAAATAAATTACGTGCAATTTCATTCGAATATTTCTAATTAGGGTCAATTATTGAGAATGAGAAGCTTCTACATATCATGTAGATTTATATCAACGTGATTCATGATCTCGGCAGGCAGCAAATAGTTGACAAAATTTTAAAACAAAATTGTGTGCTTGCGTCAAAGCTTACAAATGCCTAAACATGTTTTTGCGGATTACACAACTTGCTAACGGGTTTTTGGGTCAGTTTGATAATTTTATTAATGTTCGTTGGAAAGCTTTGTGCGATGCATGTGAATGAATCATGCGATGTGATGAGTTTTAATTTATTTTGCAACAGATTTTAAGATTTTGAAATTTAACGGTCGAATGAAATTTGAATTTTGAACTTTCTTGTACTCTAAAGTTTAAATTTTTAACGGATTTTTTGTAAATTGAATAAAATCAAGAAAATTTATACTCAAACTTGAATAACTCGAAACCTAAAGTCACCCATTTCATATTCAAATCAAAACAAAAATCAAGAATTTTCTCTACATTTACATTTTTATAATTTTGAGATTTATTAAGCGATAAAAAAATTATCAAATCCCTTTTTTTCCACAATTCAAAGTCAATCTTAATGATGATTTATTATCCAATCATAAGAAAATCAAAATTAGATTAACCAATTCAGAAGCGAGATTTCAACAAAGTTGTTCCAACAGCCCACTCGCATACAGGCAATTAGAAACTTGAAAACTAGATTTAATTCAGTCGGTACAGTCATGATAAAAATAAAGGTTGTATTTTTAAAGGAAATGGCTTTCAAACCAAGGCAGACATATCAGCGACAGAAAAGCTTAATGTAGAATTTTTTTGAAGCCAGCCCGAAAAAAAAAATCTTTTCAAACAGCAAATAAACAATATTTTTAATTTAACATTCTTATCGTAACTTTATCATTTGGTAAACAACAGCCAATATTTATCAATGTTACGATTGGAAATGTTTTTATGTGTACTTTACGAAACTAATCACAATATTACGATCAAATTAAAAAATATATATATAAGGTATATGTGTATAAAGCACATAGAACTGTTGAATGTGTCAAAGCATGTTATCATATCCGTTCCAATCAATATTAATCATTTCACGCCCAATATTTTTATTTAATATTTTACTTCTCTTGATTTTCTGTTCAAATGAAAAAAAAAATAAAATAAAAAGAGTCAAGCATGATAAAAGAGAAAACGCCGCAATGATATACACCAATTGATCAAAATAATAAGCTCCAGAAAATACATATATGATGGAATATGAAACTCCATTAATAATTTCTTTTGACATTTATTTTTGACTTGAAATTCATTTTGACATCTCTATTTTTCAATCAAGTGTTGGTGCTGTTTCATTTCGTCCCGTCGTCACTTTAATCATTTCATCGATACTTATAAAGGTATACCTACCATAGCAATATATGTATATGATTGGTAACATTTGAAGTCAACTTGATTTTTATCAATCAAAAAGAGTTACCAAATGTGAAAGAAAAAAATGAGGAGAGCACTCAAGAAAAAATAATTAAGAAACTGATTTTAAGGTTTGAATTTACAATTTTTTTTTTTCAAAGTTGTTAAAGCTAGTTTTCTTAGTTTACTGCATGACTTAGTGGTTTAGTAATTAGAGGACTGGGTTAGTACTCATGAAATCAAGGGTTCGATTCTCATTCCAAGTATTTTTTCAGAATTTTCAATTTTCTAACGGCTTTGAAAAATTCAAACTCTTTTTAAAAAATCAAAAATAATTTTGAAAAATTCAAAAAATATTTTAAAAATTTAAAAAAAAAAACTCGAATATTTTCTATGAGTGTCTCACTGGATGTCTGATGAAATAGATGTTCAGGTTTCCCAAATTGGTTTTTCAACCTTTATTTCTTTATGTCCCTATCGCACTGTGATGACTGTTGAGTGCATACTCACATGTATATATTATACATACCATTATCTCCGGAACGTCCGAAATGGAATATAATGTAATAAAATTATGGGCAGTAGACATCGTGAGAACAAGCGTAAATATTTGCACATTTCTGCAGTAACAAATTCTGTTTTCTCACATGCTCTCGCCACAGCACATAGCTCCATAACTGTCATGACAGTGTTTAAACAATTTCATTTCCATTGAGATCTCTCTCGCCTCTTATTTACTGTACATCATCATTACTAATGCGTCATGTATTTTTTAACAATTGTTTCAAAATTTAACCCACAAAAAGTATAAAAATATAAGTACAAGCGAGAAGCGAAGACAAAAAAATTTCTTCTTCGTTCCTTAACAGATGTTTCTTATAATAAGCACGTTTTTTATTAACATTATTATATGCACTGACAACGGGTACAATAGAATCAACAGCAGCAGCAGCAATAACAACAAAAATAAACGGAATAAAGAATGTATTAAAAATGGAATTATAAGCAGCATGCGTCTTCAATAGTGAGAGAGATGGATGGAAACAGAAAAGGTGGCAAGCCACGAGAAAGACACACAAAAAAATGATAAAAAGGTCTTTAAATGTATCATATCATTTAAAATTGTTTTATATAGCAATTACGAAAGCTGATTGAATGATATTTTGATGTGGATTGTTTGGAAGTGATGGATTGACTTGGAGGTATCCTTTATACACCTGGAAGTTTAAAAAATTCTACAGAATTTGTTCTTTATTGTAATATTTGGACAGTAGCGTAAAGGTTTTATGAAATTTAGGTATTATCGGTTTATTAAAACCTTTACCCGACCTCTATTTATCAGGAATTCTCAAAGGAAGGGTGTTAACAGCTTATATATATGGTGAAACCCTTATACACCTGGAAGTTTGTGAACCTACAAAATAATATTATGATACTTAATTGAAAATGACAAAAATATGATATCAACCTATAAAAGACATCATTTACGATTGAACCGCATGCTGTATTAAGAAATTATTCTGTTTGGTGAAGTGAAAAGTGGAAATTCTTAGAGAATTGTCCTTAAGAATATTTTCTCCCGAAGAGAGATTGTCTCACAAAAAGGCCAAAGCCGCACCACAATAAATATATATGTGGAATTTCTTTCTTATTTCGTTTAAAAGGAAGGAATAAGAAATGCTTATAATTCACACAGTAGACACACTGTTGTGCAAAGCAAAAATATTTATAAGATAAATGTAAATTTTTTGTTCTCAAAAACCTTTGTCTTTTTTTTTTGTTCCTTTATTTCTTATAAAAATTGAATAAAAATATTTGGAAAGGCAATTTAAATGAGGTTCTGTTGTTGTGTGATGTCACTACTATGGCTTATAGACATTCCTTTTACGAGAAAATTTAAAGTGATTTTAATGAAAATCAAGGGACCGATTTAAGTTCTTTTGGATCTTCTTTAAAATTGTTGTGTGGATTTTGTTGGGGACTTTAGCTATTAATTTTGATTTAAGCTTTACCGCTTGAAAGAATTTCTTTTGAGAATTCTGTAGATCTTTTATACATGAATGCTTGTGTTGCTTGAATTAGTGGAGATATACATCGGTTCTTTTTTGATTTGAGTTTTTCGAGTATGAAAATATATTGTGTGGATTATTGTCAAATTATCAGCAGAATGTGGAGGATGGGCATCGAACTATTATCCTTACAGTCAATCCTAGTTCTTAATAATCAACAACAAACCTTACAAATTACAAAATTCTAACCTCAAAATCATCACTAATCATAACAATATTCTCATTACAGAGCAATCCCTATGGAATTAAAGACAGTGGACCAACGAGTGATATGTCAGCATGGACAACAGCAGGACTTCAACCAACAACAACCTATTATTCACCTTACGACCCAACGTTGGCAGCTTATGGGTAAGTTCAAAAGCAAATTATCTAAACTAATTTATCTAAAGTGAAGTGTAGTTCACAAAAAATATACAATAAAATTGAGAGAAGGCTGAATAATGAAAAACAACAAGCAACAAAATATGCATAAGCAAAAATTGCAAATTAAAGAAAATGGATTATTACCCGTAAAAGGCGTCGATAATGAAAAAATTGCTATTTATCACGTAATAGTTTTTTATTGCAATTTCTTCCTCTCCGATCCTCACTGCTGTACATAATATTTTTCTGTTTATTGAAAATGTAGTACACATGCATTTTCCCTAGTTTTACAAATTCTCATGAATAATTCAAAGCTCAAGTGGAATGTAAAGAAGAAGGAATTGCTTTTTTTTGAGGAAATAATTTTTTTTGCCGAAAATTATTAAATTCCTCATGCTGTACACAACCAAACATAAAATGAGCATAGAGTCGTTAACGATTTTTAGCTTAGTATTCTTGTAAAGGATGGAGATGCTTTTTGTCCAACTGTCCTATTTAAACTTTAACGGTAACTGACAGTTTTTTTTTAAATATTTTTTGGTCGTTTTTTATCTTTAATTTCAAAATAAGGAGAAAATGCGCTTCCGTCGGTTCTCAATGACTTTACTAGCTTTTCATCGGACTCAGGAAAGGAAAAGAAAAATTGTTTATTTTACTGCCCCTGAAAATATGGGTTATTTCCTGATTAAATTCAAACTATTTTTCCTTGTGTCGTTATCACATAATAGTCACTTAATAATAATAGAATGGCCAAGCCAAGAAAAAGTCTCGCTCCCTACAAAAGTCGCTGCTTTATATCCATTATAGGAAAAGTCAGGACAATGGGATGAATAGAAAAATTAAACGGAAGGAAACAATCACGATCCAGTGGTTGGGTTTTATAGTGCATTTTAGCATTCAGTTCTTCTCTTCTTATTGAATCTGTTGTAATTTATTTTTGCGTATAAAACGACAAAGACAAGCGTGCCAAGACAAGAGCAAATATAAATGTCTCGTTTCCGTTGAGTAATTGGCTTCCAGTTGCTCTACATATGACTTCAAAAAATGTGAATTTCTTCATTAATAATATATATTGAAACCATCAATTTTGTACATTCCTATTTACAACATACACAGACGCTACTGAGATACTTCCTGAGACCATTTATGTATGTATCTATACAGTGGCACTTGATTATAAAAATAATAAAAAGAGAAAAGAGACAGACGAACAGAAAGTCGTAAAAGATAATTTCTGAGCTGAAATAAAAAGAATAAAATATTTTTTAAAGGAGCTTGTCAGATTAGAACTTTTCTTCTTCTTGTCCACCTTTTATATTTTTTTTTATTTATTTCGTTAGCTCACCTGATGCGATTGGTATAAATATTTTACAAACAGGTCATTTAACATTATTAAAATGAACAACTGTTATTAAGTAGTATCAATTTTAACAAATAGCATGTCAAGGAATGTTGAAATATTTTTTATGTTTCATTTTAAAATCATTTTCGTTAATTAATTTGTTTTTATTTTGGGAGAATTTAAGACGAGAGAGAAAAATAAATTCTGGACATTTAAAGTGGTAGCATTGATAGCAGTTTTCGAGGTAATTGAGATGGACTTTATCTTGTCGCTATGTGCCAAATTGATGATCAAGTTTTGATCGAAAAATGTGCATATTTAGTTTTTCGGGTAGGAACAGAAGTTTTAAGTCATGAAGACATAAATTAAATGATTGGAAAATAATTGAATTTTTTTTGGTAGCTTACAAATTAAATTGGTTTTTATTAAAAGACTTTACAATGTTGCGTACATTTTGAGGATGTTAATGGATATTTAAATTGACTATTTAGGCTCTGTTATACTGCAATAAACCGGATCTTTAGGCTGTATTTCGAAAAAAAGACATATATTGGGAAACATTTACTTTTTTTCTTTTAAAAATTTCTACTGATTTAGTCTCATTTATTGCAAGAACTGAGTCTTGAAAATCTGTAATCCTCGTAATCCTCAGATTCCTGGGTTCAAATCCCACTATAAGTCAGACTCAAAATCATTATAAAGAGTATATTGATATAAAGAGGATTTGAACCATTGTTCGTAATAATTTATAAAAGTAATTAAGGAAATTTACGACAATTGAGAATCGAACTTGTGACTCTTAGTTTCAAGTCACATTCTTGTACCTCTGAGCCATCGTGGGTTCTGAAATAGAAGGTAAAGTTGGAATTTATACACTTTTAATGTATTTAACTCTTGATAATACAAACTATGTCTTTTATTTGAGTTTTAATTGTGTACTACTTATCTTGTAACGTCACCAAGAAGAACCCACGCCTACACTCTTGTCTTGCCAGATCAAAAACTACTGAATACCATAAAATAGTCCAAAAAATCTCATTTATGATTTATCACATCCCAGGAAGATCTTAATTCATTAACACAGTGCCAAATATTTGCCTAAATCCACCATAAAAATCCATTAAATCCACTTCAAATCCAAGCTATATGAAAATTGATTCACAGTCACATAGTAAATTCTATCCTCTTCAAATTCCCCTTCATCAAGTGGATATTAATCATCCCTTCAATTTCCAATTAAATGTTCTTGCAATCTGCATTGAGCACTCTCAATAAGCAACATTTATCATCCACTATACTTTCATATTTCAATACCTTTTCAAGTGGATAAAAAGAATTTCTAGAAGTAAAATTTTAATTCTCTTACTAATGACTCAACATATGCTTATATAAGTAAATATTATGAAATTTAATAAATTACTCCTATAGTTTATTTATAACTTAATTTAATTCTCAAATTTCCTCGTTAGTCTTTTTAGCGCATTTTTGAAACTTGTTTCAAAAAGGTAGCTTAATAACGCACTTTGGTCGGCTGGTCGGCTGGTCGGCTGGCTGGTCGGCCGCTAAGAAAAACTTTTAATCTAGACATCGTAGAGAGTTCTAGTTTTTTGCATTAGTTCCGTTATATCGAGTTATTGGCCCGCCGGACATTTAAAAATCTTAAAACAGTGTATTTATGCTATAATTAATGAATTTTTGTTTTGTTTTCAGTGTAACCTGCTCAAATTTTATTTTACCTCTATAATTTCAATATTACCTCTATAATTTCAAAAAATTTCTAGCCGTTGTAAAATTTGAATTTCAAAAAACCGTTAAATGATAAACTTTTTTTGTATGGAAATTCATTGGAACAAATTATTTAATTATACTATAATTAATTTTTTCGTAGTGCAACTTATAGCGGGAAAATTTCAAACTATTTATTGACCGTTAGAAAATTTGAATTACAAAAAAATGTTAAATGATAAACCCTTTCTGTATGAAAATTCATTGCAACAAATTATTTAATTATACTATAATTAATTTTTTCGTAGTGCAACTTATAGCGGGAAAATTTCAAATTATTATTATATTGACCGTTAGAAAATTTGAATTACAAGAAACCGTTAAATGATAAACTCTTTCTGTATGGAAATTCATTGCAACAAATTGTTTAATTATACTATAATTAATTTTTTCGTAGTGCAACTTTTAACGGCAAAATTTCAAATTATTTACTGACCGTTAGAAAATTTGAATTACAAAAAATCGTTAAATGATAAATCCTTTCTGTATGGAAATTCATTGCAACAAATTATTTAATTACACTATAATTAATTTTTTCGTAGTGCAACTTATAGCGGGAAAATTTCAAATTATTATTATATTGACCGTTAGAAAATTTGAATTACAAAAAACCGTTAAATGATAAACCCTTTCTGTATGGAAATTCATTGCAACAAATTGTTTAATTATACTATAATTAATTTTTTCGTAGTGCAACTTTTAACGGCAAAATTTCAAATTATTTACTGACCGTTAGAAAATTTGAATTACAAAAAATCGTTAAATGATAAATCCTTTCTGTATGGAAATTCATTGCAACAAATTATTTAATTACACTATAATTAATTTTTTCGTAGTGCAACTTATAGCGGGAAAATTTCAAATTATTATTATATTGACCGTTAGAAAATTTGAATTACAAAAAACCGTTAAATGATAAACCCTTTCTGTATGGAAATTCATTGCAACAAATTGTTTAATTATACTATAATTAATTTTTTCGTAGTGCAACTTTTAACGGCAAAATTTCAAATTATTTACTGACCGTTAGAAAATTTGAATTACAAAAAATCGTTAAATGATAAATCCTTTCTGTATGGAAATTCATTGCAACAAATTATTTAATTATACTATAATTAATTTTTTCGTAGTGCAACTTATAGCGGGAAAATTTCAAATTATTTACTGACCGTTAGAAAATTTGAATTACAAAAAATCGTTAAATGATAAATCCTTTCTGTATGGAAATTCATTGCAACAAATTATTTAATTATACTATAATTAATTTTTTCGTAGTGCAACTTATAGCGGGAAAATTTCAAATTATTTACTGACCGTTAGAAAATTTGAATTAAAAAAAACCGTTAAATGATAAATCCTTTCTGTATGGAAATTCATTGCAACAAATTATTTAATTATACTATAATTAATTTTTTCGTAGTGCAACTTATAGCGGGAAAATTTCAAATTATTTATTGACCTTTAGAAAATTTGAATTACAAAAAAACCGTTAAATGATAAACCCTTTCTGTATGGAAATTTATTGCAACAAATTGTTTAATTATACTATAATTAATATTTTCGTAGTGCAACTTTTAACGGCAAAATTTCAAATTATTTATTGACCGTTAAATAATAATCCTTTCTATATAAGCATTCATTGTAACTTTTTGTTAATTACACTAAAATTAATGATCTTCTAATCTTCTCATGATCTGTAAATGAACGCAAAATAATTACATAATCAAATACTGATCGCTAACACAAAAATGCGCTTAAGTCCCTCGATCAATAACACGAGGACTTCTGTAATTTTTTTTTGTATTTTTGATATAATTATTAGCGGTATAATAATATCATTAAGCGTAAACATTTAGAA